AAGAGAGGGGCCAGCCAGGCGGGCCAGCCATCGCCAACGCAGCCCCGCGCCAGCAGCCGGGCGTAGCGCCAATGCTGGAGGCAGGGGGATCCCGCGGAATCAGGGGGGACTACATATTCAGGTACAGGAGGGGGGAGGGAGGGGGAGGGGCAAGTTGCCGAAGGCGTCGACCAGGCCGTGCTCGAAGAGGAGCGCCGTGATGCATGCCAGGGCCAGGAGGGGCGGTTCGGGCGAGGTGCCCGAGGTCAAGAGGACCGTTCGAAGCACTGCTGTGCGTCAGCGCTTGGGCGCTGTATCCCGTGTCAGTGTCCATTCGGAACGCGTAGCGGGCCGTCCCCAGCACCCATTGTGCTTGGCCGTATCCAGGTTCGGATGGGTTCCTGATGCAGGGCGCTTGCAGTCCCAGTTGATATCGCAGTTGGCGCGGGATCAGGGGGGAATAACCTTCCCATTATCAAGTGTGTAGGAGGAGGGGAGAGGGGGGAGACAGGGTCGGGCGCTGTGAACGGCGACAAACTGGTCGTACCCGGAGTTCAACGCCAAGAGGCCTGCCAGGGACAGGAGGGGCGGTTGGTGTGGCACCCTGGGCGGCGGCGTCAGGGGGAGGGTTCAAGGCAGGTCAGCGCCTGGGGCGCTTCCCGGTCCAGTTGTCGGTGTACCCAGAGCTGCGTGCTTGGCCGTCTCCGCGCCCCTCGCCTTTGGCCACTTCCCGCTTCCGCTGGATCTCCTGATGCAGGGTGTTTTCGTGCTCCCAGTCGACGTAGACGCCCGCGTTCCGGCCTGGAGGTCCGGTCCTGGCTAAATGTAGGCCGGAGCCGCCGCCGTATTAACATAAGCATACAGTACTAAAATAAGCATGCAGTGCTAAAACAAGCATGCAGTACTAAAAAACAGGCATGCAGTACTAAAACAAGCATGCAGCACTCAATTCAGCATGCAGTACTAAAATAAGCATGCCGTATTTAAATAAGCATGTGCTACTCAAATAAGCATGCAGTACTAAAATAAGCATGCAGTACTAAAATGAGCATGCAGCACTAAAGTAAGCATGCAACGCTCAGCTAGGCGTGCAGTGCTAGCCTAAGCATATATGCTAAACGTTGTTAGCATTACAAGCACTACTACCATACTCTGGTTTTTTTTCCTGTTACATACTGCGACTACTAGTACGATCAATATTGCGACCACTACGTATATTGAGATTAGTCATACGACTACTAATGCTACCATTATTATTATTAATACCCTGACGACTACTCTTTTGCGATTGCGATTATTATTATTACTACTACTACTGCTACTATTTCTACTATACTACTACTACTACTACTACTACTACTACTACTACTACTGCGATTGCTACTACTACTACTACTACTACTACTACTACTACGACTGCTGCTAACTACTACTACTACTACTACTACTACTATTACTACTACTACTACTACTACTACTGCTACTACTACTACTACTTCTACTACTACTACTACTATCACTGTAGTAGTAGTAGTAGTACTACTACTACTACTACTGCACTACTACTACCACTACTACTACTACTACTACTACTACTACTACTAGTGCTACAGCTACCACTACTGCGATTTCTATTACTATAGTACAACCAATATGATTACTACTGATACGACTATCCTGCTGCTCATCCTGTTGCTACTTCTATCACTGTATGCCATGCTACGACCAATACTACTACTACATACTAAACCTACCTACTACAACTACTCCTAACACTACTACAAATACTGTTAATACCACTATTACTGTGACCGCTACCACTACTCGTACTACTACTACTACTACTACTACTACTACTACTACTACTACTACTACTACTACTACTACTACTAATACTACTGCTACTACTACTACTACTACTACTACTACTACAACTACTACTACTACTACTACTACTACTACTACTACTACTACTGTTACATCGACGACGACTACTACTGCTATTACGACTACTGTCACTCATGCTTCTAACACGGTTACCTCTATTGAGTTTATGAAAACTACTACTATTACTCCTACTATTACTACTTCTACGACTACTGCTAGCAATAAAACTGATACTACTACTACTACTACTACTACTACTACTACTACCACTACTACTACTACGACTACGACTACGACTACTACTACTACGACTACTACTACTACTACTATTACTACTACTACGAATACTACCACCACCACCACTACTACTACTACTACTACTACTACTACTACTACTACTACTACTACTAGTACTACTACTACTACTACTACTACTACTACTACTGCTGCTACTACTACTACTACTACTACTACTACTATTCCTATTAAAATTACTACTGCGACTACTACTACTACTACTACTACTACGACGACGACGACTACTACTACTACTACTACTACCACTACTACTACCACTACTACTACTACTACTACTACTACTACTACTACTACTACGACTACTACTACTACCACTACTACTACTACTACTACTACTACTACTACTACTACTACTACTACTACTACTAAGACTACTAACAGTCTTATTACGATTGCTACTATGATGTCCATTGCTACTACTACGACAGCGACGAGTTCCTAATACACCTACGGTTAAGCTTGTCATTACTAACCGTACTATTACGACAACTATTACTGCCACTACGACTATGACTACCACCACTCGCGCAACACCTCGTACCACCACTACTACTACTACTACTACTACTACTACTACTACTGCTGCTACTACTACTACTACTACTACTACTACTAC